AGGGCATCGCTCTTAGTTTGGAGGCCATCGCTCTTGCGTTGGAGGCCCTCGCTCTCAGGTTGGAGGCCATCGCTCTTAGGTTGGAGGGCCATCGCTCTTAGGTTGGAGGGCATCGCTCTTAGTTTGGAGGCCATGGCTCTTGCGTTGGAGGCCCTCGCTCTCAGGTTGGAGGCCATTGCTCTTAGGTTGGAGGCCATCACTCTTAGGTTGGAGGCCATTGCTCTTAGGTTAGAGACCATTGCTCTCAGGGTTGGAGGCCATCGTTCTTAGGTTGGAGGCCATCACTCTTAGGTTGGAGGCCATCGCTCTTAGGTTGGAGGCCATCGCTCTTAGGTTGGAGGCCATCACTCTTAGGTTGGAGGCCATAGCTCTTAGGTTGGAGGCCATCGCTCTCTTGGTTTGGAGGCCATCGCTCTTAGGTTGGAGACTATCGCTCTTAGGTTGGAGGCCATCGCTCTTAGGTTGGAGGCCATGGCTCTTAGGTTGGAGGCCATCGCTCTTTGGTTGGAGGCCATCGCTCTTAGGTTGGAGGCCATCGCTCTTGGGTTGGAGGGCATCGCTCTTAGGTTGGAGGCCATCGCTCTTGCGTTGGAGGCCCTCGCTCTTAGGTTGGAGGCCATGACTCTTAGGTGGAGGCCATAGCTCTTATGTTGGAGGCCATGACTCTTATCGCTCTTAGGTTGGAGGCTATGACTCTTAGGTGGAGGCCATCGCTCTTGCGTTGGATGCCCTCGCTCTTAGGTTGGAGGCCATCGCTCTTAGGTTGGAGGGCATCGCTCTTGGGTTGGAGGCCATCGCTCTTGCGTTGGAGGCCCTCGCTCCTAGGTTGGAGGCCATGACTCTTAGGTGGAGGCCACTCCTCTTTGGTTGGAGGCCATTGCTCCTAGGTTGGAGGCCATGGCTCTTTGGCTGGAGGCCATTGCTCCTAGGTTGGAGGCCATTGCTCTTAGGTTGGAGGCCATCGCTCTTAGGTTGGAGGCCCTCTCTCTTAGGTTGGAGGCCATCACTCTTAGGTTGGAGGCCATCGCTCTTAGGTTGGAGGCTATGACTCTTAGGTGGAGGCTATTGCAGTTTTTCCATATGTATGCCGTGGTGCGGCATTTTGAGCGATCCGATTTTTCAGCGATCCTATTGGCATCCTGGGGACTTTTCCTGGGGACTCTAGTGACTAGTGGATTTTTGCTACGATTTGATGCATGCACGCTGAAGTGGCCCAGTGGCCCAGTGCAAGCCATCAAATCTCCAATCACGGTCCTTTGTTTTTGTATTTGCAAAGCCCAAGCAAACGTTTGTTCAGCTTCTCCTGCGTGGTCTCTTCAGTGGCCTTCTGCACCAGCTTAACGTGATCACCTCCGTCAGCCATGGCAAAGAGCCACGGCAAAGAGCCACAAGCTCCTAGTAGCGTCCTTATTGTTTCTAATAGCAAACATTGTTACTACTAGTAAGGCACTTGTTACTAGAAGCGATGCACTTGTTACTAGTAGCAAGGCCAGCCCCGTTCGTAGCGTGTCTTGACGACCGGAAACCATGGACCCCGTCCGGACCGGGAGAAGCCCTGTGGTTGTCTTGCAACCATCGCTCTTAGGGAGGCCATCGCTAGTAGGGGGGCAAAGCGACCTTTAAAAGGTCCTTTAAAGGAGTCTTTTAAATGGAATGGTATTTCAACAAGTAGGTTGGAGGCCATTGCTCTTAGGAGCAAGGACGCTACTAGGGGCTCCTGGCATAGCTACTAGGAGCAAGGATGCTAGTAGGTTGGAGGCCAGGAATCGTACTCCGGTTTCCCACGAGTCACGAGGCTGTGAACAAAGAACACTCCGTCTCACCGGTGACTCTTCTCAGGCCCTTGGGAATGCACGTCTCACTCCGTTTCATCCCACGTCTGCCCCAAGAAAAGACCGCTCTTGAGCGAGAGGTCTCTCGTAAATAGAGCCTCACCTTGAGGTATGCCTTATCTTTTGGGGTGAAGCAGGTTTTTGAAAAAGACTTCAATAACTTTCAAGAAGTGTTTCAAAACAGTCCTAAAAACAAATAAGGCTAAAGCTCAGGTCTAAAACAACAGATAAAAAGGTCTCAAAGTCTAAAGAACAGACTAAAGGTCTAAAGGCAATAACAAAACAACAGACACAAAGGTCTGAAACTCCCAAAAAACCACAACCACAAAGAATATACGCTCTTGCAACTTGGATCTTTAAGAAACGCTCGTTCCATGAGTCTAAAAAACACCCGAAACGCTCTACCCGACGGTCTCGATGAGTTTTGATTGCGACAGAGATCTCAGATGGTTTTTAAAACTATAGTTACTAGTAGCTTCTTGTTACTAGTAGCGATGCACTTGTTACTACTAGTAAGGCACTTGTTACTAGTAGCTTCTTATTTTATTTTCTTTTTTCCGCAGCTTTTTCAATGAATGCTTGTGGAAGGCTTGAATCACCACTCTTGGACCAAAGGTGCCTGGTGAGGAATTGGCTTGAACCTCGGAATCTCCACTCTAGTGTTTTGATTTGGCCCCAACAGTCACTTTCTTTACGTGGCAACACCAGAAGAGGTTTCCCATCTCTCATCATCTCTGTCCTGGTTGTTCCCCTCTCCGGCCTTGATGCTCATAGGTCCGGCTCAAGTGCCCCGCGCCCCACTGGGCTCGTTCCAACGCACAGCGGGCGAAGTATCCCAAGCCCATGGCTGCATAAAGACCATCGAGATCGCCCTCCGCCTTCACACAACTCCTCAGTCAAAGAGTGGAATCCAAACGTTTCCCACGGTGTGAGGTTCTCTCTGATTGAAGATGGGTATTAAAAAGGACTGTAGTAACAAGTGCATCGCTACTAGTAACAAGTGCCTTACTAGTAGTAACAAGAAGCTACTAGGAACAAAGGCTTGCATGGTTGTCATGCAATGACTGTCATAAACTTCAGACCTTTGATCCTTTAACCTTAAGGCCCATGGCCCTACAACAAACGATGACCAAAAGACACTCTGGTCTCAGAACCGGCGCGCCAAACGCTTCCTACCCAATAACCTCCGAAACTGGACCATCTGCCTTGGTCTGTTTGGTTCGCCCAGTGGCCAGGTGCCTGAGAAGTTGGGCCGCGACGCCTTCGCCTCGACTGTCCCACGGGAACTGGCGAAGCGCATGAGGCCGTCGTAGCCTCAAGGCCCCGCGCGCGTTCTGGATTAAGGGACCGGATGCCCCCCCCCCGGCATGTGAAGCAATTGTGTTTAGAACAGGTGGGACAAAAGCGGATCGAAGAGCAACGATAGCGGATGAATGAGAGTGAGATTGAGTGTGAGCGGTGAGTGAGTTGGAGTGAGTCGCATGCGCGCCAGCGTGTGTACCAGCGTGTGTACCAGCTGAGCGTGCGTGAGAGCGTTGGTGTGAGTGAGTTGGGGCGAACAAGTTGGTGTGGGTGAGTTCTTGCGTGAGTTGAGTTGAACAGGCTGCTAAGCGGGAGCGGCAGGAGGACAGTGGAAGAAATAGTGGGAACCCCGCACTATGATGTGGGGAACAACGCAGCAATGTGACATAGATCGGATGCAGTGTTCGCACCACCAAACCATACTAAATCTTTGTGTTTACATATGCATGACGGAGCCAATGCCAACACACCCACGTTGCACCGAGCCCGTGGCAAACCGCATGACGCAGTGACGTCACAGACGTAATTTCACCGCGTTGGGTTGCCAAGGACCAGGTGCCACCAATCGACACCAAGCCTTGCTGACACCCGGCCGCAATTACACACGCGTGTTTCCCGTTCCCCAACAGCACGGGGCCAGGCAACGGCCCATGGCGCAGCGATGTCGCAGATGTACCCACTTAAGACCCAGCAAAGCGCCGGGAAACGTGCTGCAGACCGAAGCTGACTACGATCTGAAGCAGGCATTGTGCCACGTGCAACACAAGAAGCTACTAGGCTGGCATCGCCACTAGGCGCAAGGACGCTACTAGGGGCTCCTGGCCTTACTACTAGCAGCAAGGATGCTACTAGGAACAAGAACGCTACTAGGGGCGCGCTCCCTTACTACTCGGAGCGAGGACGCTACCGGACTTGTGAAAAGCATGGGGTCGTCGACTTCTCGTGATGATTGGCCCATGGCCACATCATCATATCTTACATCCATGCAAAACCGACACACACAGTTCTCTATGATCAAATATGATCTGAGGGTGACCATTTCTCCGTGATCGAAGGCAAGCCTACGCACAAAGCATCACCAGTATCATGGGTATGGTGGGGAAAATTGGGGTCACAAGTGACGGGAAGAAAGGCGTCATGAGCGAACGCCTCACCGGCCATCGCTAGTAGTTGGAGGCCATTGCCAGTAATCCAAGGAACAACACAACTTGCTCTCGTCAGGCTTGGCCGCCAAGGCTTTGCTGCTTCGCTCCCGCTTGGGCGACTTGGGCACAGCTTTGGGCTTCGTCACCTCTTCCTCCTGGCCAAACTATTCACACGTTCCTAATGGAATGTCAATCACTTTCTTCTTTATCAAGCTGAACTTAGTCCATGACTCTTGTTTAAACTGGTTGCCTTTAAAACTGTTGACCCACCGCATGACCATGCTACTAGGAGCAAGGACGCTACGAACGGGGCTCCTGGCATCGCTACGAACGGAGCAAGTAGCCACCAGAAAAAACCGTTAGGAGTTACTTTCATTTCTTCACGCTCCAAGTATTGATCCGGAACTGCCACCCCTCCTCCTGATGTTCAGAGCGTCTCCGAAGCATACTGTCGACATAGACCTTGTAGAGTAAATAGGTGATGATGGTTGTCACAATCGCCTTGTGCACGGAAACCCTCGAAAGAAACCCAGCAAGCAATACATCACGTTGCGTAGAGCGATGTTCACGCAACTCTCCATCTGGATCCAGCATTTTGAGCACATGTCCTTTCTCCAATCCGTCTCCAAAGGGCTGAAGGTCCTTTGGCAATCTGTGGTTACTGCTTTTTCAAAGGTAATATATGGTTTCTAATAGCTTCTACTTGTTACTACTAGTAAGGCACTTGTTCCTACTAGCGTGGCACTTGTTTCTAATAGCTTCTTGTTACTACTAGTAAGGCACTTGTTACTAGAAGCGATGCACTTGTTACTAGCCTCTCACTCTCTATTTTTTGCGCGCCAAGCTGCGCAAACGATAGCCACTTTGATGGGAGTTCGCTGCTTTCCAATCGATGCCTCAGTACACTCGTGGGAGGACCCAGAACATGGTTCATGTTTCTCCAAGCATCTTCCCATCGGGGTTCTTACCCCTTTGAAAGCCAGCTTTTTGCTCTCGGGTTTGCTCCGCTTGTCTCGGTTGGTCAGATGTGGTGGCAAAGTTACAGTATGTTCTTGAGCTAGGGAGAAGCTTGGACAGCTTGAAATGGTGGGTGTCTCAAAGATTCCTGTTGTTGCGCGTTCCCAAAGTTTGCCGAAGATGCTGAAGGGACTCTGCACAACTCAATGTCAGAGTCAATTGTTTATTTGGTTGATTTCAGTTTGGATTTTGGCGAAGAAGAAGCTTAAGAAAGTGCAGATTTCGGGGCTGAATAAATTGCGAGAGCTTTGCACTTTGTAGGTCTCGCCTTCCTCCACAGCATGCAAGTGCGTCATGATGCGTCATGTGGTTTGCAGACAGGTTCATGTCTGCAAGCATGCTGACTTGTGCAGTGCCCGATATGTTTGGGAAGCTGGGCAAGAGATGACCCACTTTCGAAGCATTGCCCGCCAAGTATAAGTGGAGAAAGGCAAAGACTGCAAGCAGCCACATGGGTGGAGGATAGGTGGTGACAGGGGGGTTGCTTGAAAGACGCGCTTGGCGCCCAATCTGGGTTTTCCCAGAAAGCCAATGAATGGTCGACCACAACAAAAGGCAATTCGGTGTAGCAACCTGCACAGTCCGTTGACTTTGATTGAAACTACTAGCGATGGCTCCAACCTACTTATTGAAGTAGTAACAAGTGCATCGCTTCTAGTAACAAGCGCCTTACTAGTAGTAACAAGGACGCTGGTAGAAACAATAAGCTTTCTAAAGGGCCGCAGAGCGCGCCCCCAACATCTCACCGAGCTGCGAAGAGCAAATGCTCCTGTGCTCCTCGTAGCGAGAAGAATTTGCCTCAGCGGTGCATTTCGCGGCGGAATTCGCGATGGGTTGGGTCGGTAGTGAGGCAATCGGGTTGAAGAGTAAAGGGTACCTAAGAGGCTACCCCAGAATTCGCGCTGGCGTAGCGAGCGAGTTTCTGGTCCAGGATGAACCTGATCGTCCAAGAACAAGCGCCCTGGTCGAAGAAAGAGCTCTTATTCGTAGTGAGTCAGGCAAGCATAGAAGCATTCTGGACATATGATATGGTGCGGGTAGCTTTGGCAGTCCTAGCTGTCGCTTTCCCCAGGACGTAAGGGACCATACCATATCTTTGTCCCAGTGTGATTCATGCCATGAAGAAACCCCACACCCCTTTACACATCGTCAACTTTACTCAATTACATCATTCTAAGGCATCTATTTAAAGGACTTATCAACAAGAACGCTACTAGGAACAAGTGCATCGCTTCTAGTAACAAGTGCCTTACTAGTAGTAACAAGGACGCTAGTAGAAACAATAGGCTTTTGCGAGCTCATTCATGAAGCTGTCACATTTTGGAGATTCCCGTGCGTGCGAACAGGCATTCCACTTTTACGAGTGCCCTCTCCAAATTCCCCTCACACTCCTGCAAATTGTCTTGAGTATAGCAACAAAGACCGTCTCATCCCTTCTTCTGAAGGTGCCCTTCACACACAATCTTATCACTTTCCACAAAAACAACAATTCTGCGAATGAACTCTCTCATTATAGAGGAATCAACAAAACCTTCTACATAGAGGCACGGTGATATGAACAGCTGTCCAGCTGCCCCCCAGTTTAATGCTCAGCTGTCCAGGCCCAGTTGGTGTCGAATTTTGTTTTGAGTACCCACAGCTTCCCACACCTTGGATACTTCTAGGGGCTCCTGGCCTTACTACCAGGAGCAAGGACGCTACTAGGGGCCCCTGGCCGTACTACTAGGAGCAAGGATGCTACCAGGGGCCCCTGGCCGTACTACTAGGAGCAAGGATGCTACTAGGGGCCCCTGGCCGTACTACTAGGAGCAAGGATGCTACCAGGGGCCCCTGGCCGTACTACTAGGAGCAAGGATGCTACCAGGGGCC